ACACCTAGGGCTCTTGCTAGACCTACAGTTGTTTTCTGATTGTTTGAAAGGTCACTGTGTCAACCAAACCCCTGGGGGCCAACACCCATAAGTCACAGCAGCCACCCCAGGTCTGCACAGAGGCGCACTGCTTAACTTGTTCTTCAAGAGAACCTGCTGGGAGAAGTGCTGTCGGCTGATAGCCCCCAGCTGCCACACCTTTCTGTGTGGCTCCGTATTCATGTTTCCCCTAGCTGCTTCTACCCAACGCCTGAACATGCAGCTAACGCTGCACCATTTCTGCCCACAGAGGACCCTTCTAATAGGCAGTGTTTGCCTGTGGTTCTCTACTGGCCTCACAGAGACTTTCTCAGAGCTGCTCTGTCATCTGAGACTCTTCCTACCCAATGCTTCCTGCTTTCTCTCCTTTCACAAGTGTAGGCTCTTTCTGCCTCCTGCTCTTCCCGTCTCCTTTATCCTTCACAGCTGTTCTCACCAATCTCTTGCACATCTAATTCTGACTTTGTATCTTCTGAGAGGATCTGAACTGATAGTCTAGTACATTCATGGTCTAAGTCCAACAGTACTGGAAAGTTGATCTTCAGGTAGGCAAATCTAGGGGATTTTATAATAGCTGGAGAGACCTGTGAACCGAATCATTCGCGTGGTGTTGAGAAGTAGGGCTGGAGAAGGGTACATGAATCATAGAAACGGAACGTGCAGCACATCAGCAACTCCAATAAGCTGGGTAGTGTATAATGCATATTCATTTTGAGGGGAGCAACCCTTAGATGGACAACAGTGGATTGGGTAAAGAAAATGTGGCACATACACACCACAGAATACTACACATCCATAGAAAAGAACAAAATCATGTTCTGTGCAGCAACACGGACAGAACTGGAGGCCATTATCCTAAGCAAGTTAACACCAGCAACAGAAAACCAAATACTCCATGTTCTCACTCACAAGTGGGAGCTAAACATTGAGTATACACGGCCGCAAAGAAGACAACAGTAGATACTGGGACCACTTGAGGGTGGAGGGTGGGAGAATGAGGATCTGAAAACTACCATTGGGTGCTATGTTCATTACCTGGGCGATGAAATAATTTGTATGCTAAACCCCTGCAATACGCAGTTTACCCACAGAACAAACCTGCACATGTATCCCCTGAACCTAAAAGTTGGAAAGAAAAATAGAGAAAGAAAAACCTGAGATGGAGCTGAGTTTTAATCCCAACCCACCATCTCTTTGGACAAGTCACTTAGGCTCAATGTCCTCATATAGAATATGAAAATAATTTTACTTACCTTGCCGGGTTGTTGTAAGAACGGAGAGGATGACATATGGAAGGCACCGGCATGGGTACTTCCGTTCACAGTAGCTACTGTTCATTATTAGCTTTCCTGTTTAGGAAGAGAAAGAACGCCTTCCTCTTGTTTAAAGCCAAGCAGGAGCTCATTCAAAAAGAAAGATCCTTCCAGCCTGGGCAATATAATGACACCCTGTCTCTACAAAAAATAGAAAAAATTAACCAGGCATAGTGGTGTACACCTAGTCCCAGCCACTCAGGAGGCTGAGGTGGGAGGATTCCTTGAGCCTGGGAAGTTGAGGCTGCAGTGAGTCATAACTGTGTCACTGCACTTTAGCCTGGGCAACAGGGCAAGAGTCTGCTTAAAAAAGCAAAAAACAACAACAACAACAAAAAAGCAAAATGGCCAGGCACAGTGGCTCATGCCTGTAATCCGAGCACTTTGGGAGGCTGAGGCAGGTGGATCTTGAGGTCAGGAGTTTGAAACCAGCCTGACCAACAGTAAAACCCCATCTCTACTAAAAATACAAAAACATTAGCCAGGCATTGTGGGGTACCTGTAGTCCCAGCTACTCTGGAGGCTGAGGCAGGAACATCACTTGAACCTGGGAGGCAGAGGCTGCAGTGAGCTGAGATCGCGCCACTGTATTCCAGCCTAGGCTACAAAGAGCAAACTCCATCTCAAAAAGAAAAAAAAGAAAAGAGCTATCCTGAGCAGGATCTTGGGAGCTTGGCCCTGTGGCGGTAGGCCCGAGGAAAGGTAAGCATTCAGCGTTGAGCCGCGGGGAGGGTAAGCCGCCCCACTCTGCCCTTATTGCGTCCTGCAGGGGCCTGTGTGGTGTGTTGCCCCTGGGGTGTGGGGGCAGAGGCGAAAGCAGGAAGAGGAGCAGAAGAGCCTCCAAATTTATGATGGTTTCTGGGCAGTAGCTTCAGATGGGACGAGAAATGGACACGAACTAGAGCCTGAAAGAGGAGTCAGGGCCGAGAGAGAAAGGCCTGCCTGCTTTGGGCTCCTCCCCTTCCCTTTGCTCATGGGCCTCAGCTGTGAGAGAAGTTAACTGCTAGCCCCTGTGCCTAGGGGACCTGGGTTGGGTTGTCCAGGGAGTAAGTTCTAAAGGGGCCCCTTGTCTTTTGAGGGGCTAGGTGGTAGGGTAGGGCTTAGCTCCAGAGGGCAGGGAGCCAGAGCAGACGCAGTAAAAAGGAGGAATCCCCAGAAGACACAGTCCAGGCGTCCAGTCCTGAGAATGCCCCCGCCCCGGTGACCCACGGCGGGCAGTGCCTCCAGCTCTGGCCTGGGTACCCAGCGTAAAGCATGTCTAACCAGGGCCCGCTGGACCCCACAATTCTATGCCACCTCCTTGGCAGCTTCTTTTAAGAAGTCCGTTTTCCTGAAAGGAAGGCTACATGACAAATTATTTTCCTCAGGGCCTGACTAGAGGAAAAATAATGAACCAGGAGGTGGCATTTGTCTCCCCTGTCCCTATCCTGTCCCCCACACCCTCCTCCCCACACCACAGGTGTCCCGTTGTGGCTGTCAGATTTCTTTATGGCCCAGCACCCCTTTTCTTCCTGGGAAGAGAGTAGCCAATCAGTTAACCACATCAAGAGCACTATCTGTCTCCCACGTGTCCAGGGCAGGAACTAGTGAAAGTCAGCTGGGCTCAAATGGGTTCTTTGCAAATGAAGGAATGAAAAAACTAAGGAAGGAGAATGTTTTCAAATGCCCCTGACTCCGGCCCCACCTACCCTTCTTCTAACTTTGTTTTTCTATTCCTTCTTCTCCTTACTCCGACCTTTCATAAGCCTTTCTCCTTTCCTTCCTCCCTCCCTCCTATTTGGGAGGCAGACAGACCTGGGTGGGACACTTTGGGCAGGTTATTCATCCTCCCTGTGTCGGTTTCCAGGTCTGTAAAACAGGATGACTCCACTGGCACGTGGCTGTGGTGAGGATTAAATGGAGTGAGGACAGCAGCCGGGCCCAGTGTTCTCCACGTTCTCTGGGCTTGTGCTGCAGGCCCCATAAGGGAGACTGATGAGCTGCTAAAGGTCTCAGGCAAAGAGGAAAAAGAGGGTGTAGTAGGGGCATCCCGTGGGGTTGGACGCTCAGAGAAGGACTGACTCATTGGGAGAGGAAGTAAACCCAGAGGTCAAAGGGGCCCTGCCCAGAGGCAGCAGGGACCTCCAGTGCTGGGCTGGACACAGTGTCCTGGCTTCTCCCTTGTCCCCATAGGCCTCTGAGGAGTCACATGTTCAACCAGCATCCAAAAGAAGCTCCATTGAGCCAGGTGCAGGGATGGGCCCTTTTATTAATTTTGTCTTCATTAATTCCCCCTCTCCCACAATCTACATGAGATAGGTGTTATTATTCCCACGACACATTGGAGAAGGCAGAGGCTCTGAGAGATAGTAAGCTGGTGAGGAATAGGGCTGGGACTTGATAGGTCTAGGTAAAGTCCCCAGAGCCAAGGGGACCCCGAGGAAGGACATCTGAGCCAGACATCTGGTCAGGTAAGGCCTCCTGGAAGCAACATTGCTTGAGGAGTCATGGTAGAGAGCTACAAGTGCCCAGAGAAGCCTCTACCCCAAATTTGGGAAATAGTGTTAGTTTTCCTCTCCAAAGTCCAACCAATAGCAAAGCTACGGACAGGACAGGTAGCACCTGCACGGGGGCCCTCCCTGCCTCCCTTCCTTGGGCCCCACCTCTTACCATAGCCTCAGGTCCCTAAAGTACAGCAGTTCCCACCGGGGGTATGTGAAATAGACCAACAGAGAAGAGCCAGCTCTGGCCTTGCATCTCTCCCATGGGCCCAGCAACCCCTGACGGGCCTGGGATCTCTGGAGTGCAATGGTGCATTGGGCCATACTGAGTCCTGTCCTCTGCTGCTCCAACTGTATTCCTTCCACAACATTCTTTGGACCTAAGTCAACAAGAGCCTAATCCTCGCTCAACCTCCTTGCCTTCCTTCCTTGTAATGCCAGAAAAGAATCTCTCCTTGCTCACACAAAAATTGTCTTTTTCATTTGAAAATGCTCTGGGGCCAGGCACAGTGGCTCAAAGTGCTGTAATCCTAGCACTTTGGCGGGTCAAGGCAGGTGGATTACCTGAGGTCAGAAGTTTGAAACTAGCCTGGCCAACAGGGCAAAACCCATCTCTACTGAAAATATAAAAATTATCTGGGTGTGGTGGCACCACCTGTAATCCTAGTTACTTGGGAGACTGAGGCATGAGAATCACTTGAACCCGGGAGGTGGAGGTTGCAGTGAGCCAAAATGGTGCTACTGTACTCCAGACTGGGCGACAGAGCAAGACCCTGTCTAAAAAAAAAAAAAAAAAAAAAAAAAAGAAAATGCTCTGTGGAAACTTCTCATTCAAGTCTCACTGAGTAAGAAGAGGGGGAGGATCCTGTATCTTCTGTCCACCTGCTTTTTTAGGGAATAATCCATGTATGTATGCTCTGGACCTGATGCCATTCCTAACTGGGCTTGCCCTTTGGTGACATCCCAGAACCTGAGTCTGTGATCTGGTGTGGCCTATTAGAAAGCCCCCAAAGTCTCCATGGAATGGCAGCGGCCTACTGGACCAACCCAACCAAGTTACATCTTTCTTTCTCTACCTACAAGCTGCCGCCCCGGACATCAGAGATAGGCACCGAGGAGATCTGCTGGGCCCACAGGAGCTCAGAGGGAAATCACAGAAATGCTCACATTATATATAAAACTGCTTTATTAAAAAGTCAGCTATTAGGAAAACAAAGCCCTTACAAGGGTTCTAACAAAACATACAAATTTTAAATAAATGCATCAGTAAAATGGCAGCCAGATATACCAGCCACAGTTACAACCTCAAAGGCGTTGTGGGGAAGGAAGGATTAGGGAGGACGTTCCTAGAAGTCAAGGAAGAGGCTAGGCACAGGGGGTCTTTGGGTGCCTGCAGAGCTGGGTCCTGGAGCTACCAGGCAAGGACCCTGCTTCCGTTTTCCTTTCCTTGGAAAAATGGAAAGAACTGGCAGGTGTAGGAAATTTTGAGTCTGGAGCAGAAAGGCACAAAAGTCATTTATAAGGTAGGATTGCTCACTCCAGTCCTGAGGCACATGGGATGGATAAATGGGGGATCAGAGCCACAGGGTGACTGGCTCTGGTCCTGCTTGCTTCTGGCTGGTACCATCTCTGAGTTTGGCCACAGGTTAAATTAAGGTAGACTGAGTGGACTGCATAATCCTGGCAGCCTGGGGTCTGGAGCCAGTCTTTAGATCAGATATGTTGCTTCACTGGCAGACTGGTGTCTACCCTCTAAGAGATCCTCCCAGTGAGGAGCAGCAGGCCTCCTGACTAGCCCTGTCCTCTGAGCCACTGTGGGCACCCACCCTGGATAAGGAACTTCCGAGGGCAGTCTCTGCCATCCAGGCATCCTGAGAAGCCCCAAGCCCCAGGGCCAGGGTTTCTCTGAATGACAGGCAGAAGCACAGAAAGCTGGCGTTGAAACCAGTCCCCACCAGCTGCTGGCCCCACATCCATGGTCACTGCTGACACGCCTCCTTGGTGACATTAGGCAGTGGGTAGGCAAAAAGGGAGAAGTCCAGGATATACTTAGGTAGCACATCCTGCAGCAGGGCGCGTGGGGCACTGCACAAGTGGTAATGCAGGCTTTCAGGGCTGGCTGGCCGGTACCAGGCCTGGCGAGCTGGAAATCGGACGTGGGGTGGTGCCCGCACCCACTCCAGCACCTGGTTGGCATCGGCCTCAAGCCTCTCATAGGATCCCACAAAGTCATAGTGCACAGCACAAGGCTGGCACAGGTGGTACACGGGCATCCAATGCTCATTCATGCGCTCAGGGTCCTCGTCCACCAGGTATCTCAGGAACTCGGGGAATGTAACATCGTCGCCTGCAGGGCTGGGCCCTGCTCCAGCCCTGTACCGCCTCACGATCTCGGCCCCATAGCGCTGCTGGTACTCTCGGATCTCTCCAAACTTGTTGCGGTAGGCAGAGAGGAGGCGTTCCAAGGGGTCCCGCACAAACAGGAACTTGAAGTAGTGCTGCAAGCGGTAGCGAATCTCCTCAGGCCTCAGGTCTGCCAGGAACACCAGGTCACTGCGGTGGTCCATCTTGAGGCGGACGTCCACGCTGTCCAGGACGCCTGCCAGCACCTTCAGCACCCGCTTCCAGTTAGAGCAGGCCACCTTGGGCACGTAGCAGTAGAGGAAGCGGTAGCGGTCACTCACGAGGATGTGGCGCAGCAGAGTGCGCCGCTGCCCCACCGGCAAGTCCCAAGGGTCCCGGGGCATGCCCGGCTGTCTGCAAACAGTCCTCAGGGTCCTGTTCCGGACGTCCTGCCGCACTTGCAGGTCCGAGTCCCCAGCACTCAGGGACAGGCCCCCAGGCTTGGGGGCTGTCCCGCGCCAGGCTGCGCCCTCGCGGCCGGGGGGGTGCAGGGGCAGGGGCTTCATCTCGGCCAGGATGCCCCGCTCGATCACGAACAGCAGCCCGCTGGAGGCCACTATCACCGCGAACATCAGCATGGACGGCAGCAGCAGGGGCGGCCCCCCAAGCCCTGCCCGGGCCTTGCCCAGAGGGGCCCGCCTCAGCGCCCGGCCCAGGGGCTCGGCGCCATTTGGGGCTGCCAGCGGGGTCAGCGGGCGGGGGAACATGGTGCTCCCGGGGTGGGGGCCTGCGCGGGCCCGGCCGATTTGAGGGCGGCCTGGGAGGCGGGCTCGGGCTGGGGGCGGGAGGAGGGTCTGAACGGTGAGGGAGTTGGGGAGGAGAGGGCAGGGGGCGGCCCCGGCGTGTGCAGAGGTGGCTGGCTCCCAGGCTGCGGCGCCGAAGCGGGCGGTGGGCTGCAGGCGGCGGGCGCGGCGAGGGACCTGGGCCGGATGTCCCGCCCGGCAGCTCTCCTCCCCCGGCCCCGCCGTGACACAGGCGCGGGGGCGGGCCCACGCCGGGGGCGGGGAGACAGGCGGGAGCCCCTGTGGGTTGCGGTCTAGGGAGGGCGCGCGCGGACCCCAACCCGGAAGAGGGCCCCTGAGTCAGGGCCACCCCTGTCCTCTGGGCTTGGGGAAAAAAGCTGCTGAGACCTCGAAGGCGGAAAAGACTCGAGGCCGCTCTCGTGCAGTGTGTGTCCTTAGGGAGCTGGACAGGGGGAATCTGCCACAAACTCAGGCCTGTCGTAGCCCTGCCTCCACCAACGGGTCTGGAGGCAGGGAGGCTAGCAGCGCTCTCTCTCAGTTCAGACCTGCCGGAGGCTGGTCTTTCCAGCTGGAAGCAGAGTCCTTGGTGTGCTCCCCTTTGCCACCCTTACCTCCCTCCGTCCCACAGGTCGTGGCCGCTCCAGGAAAGAGCAGCAGGACTGTCAGACACTGACCAGTGTCTCCATGGTGACCCCTGTTTAGCAATACCTGGGGACTGACTACAGTGCTTGTCCACTAGGTAATGCTAAAATGTCTGGAAAAGGAATCTCCCCTCCTCTGCCTTCTCCCCACTAGGCATGAGGCAGCGGGATAATTGGGGGACTCTGGGGAGGGGCTAATGACACATTGGTCTGTCAGCTGCTGGTGTGACCAACACACATTTGGAAGGGTGAGGAGCTGGTGGCACCTAACAGCAGGGAAACAGCACGCAGTCTCCTTGCCTGGAGCTAAACGTGTGTTCCACGGCACCACGCTGGCCACTTGGGCAGACAGCAGACCCTAAGTGCTTTGGATGTCAGCAGCCATCATTTCCCACTGGGAACCTGGCTCAGCGGCCAGACTTCGCCCAGCTACGTGCTTGCTGCGTGTGGGAGCCAGCAAGGAATCAGTGGAGCAATATGATTAGAGCCCAAGTGTATTGAGGGCAGCGCCCGCTAAGTGTATTACGTTTGTAGATCGGAAGTAACAAGAGGCTGAGGGAAGCTGAGACTCAGTATGGGTCGTTCTGATTCTAAAACCTAAATTCCTAATAACGGTCTCGGTTAATGGAGCATATCATGGAATGGCTAGAAGGGAAGAAGCAGCTGACTTGAGGGCAGACTGTACAGAGGGAGTGATGGAAAATATACCAGTAGGAGAATGGAGCTACCAGTGATCAGATGAATTCAGAAAGGTGAGGGGACTCAGGGATGAGATAATACCAGAGGGCTCACTGATGGCCCCCCAATCCCAGTAACAGGAAAGCACACATTATGAGCCAGGGGAAGGAACAGCAAAGCCTTGCCGCCTTCCAGTTCTCCAGATCCATCTGATTGCCCTGGTGCAACTACAGGCCACCACATGTTCATTTGCTGCATCAGAAGTTTGTATGAAGGTTCACCCTTGACTACACTGCTTCTTGCTTCTAATAGCCCTAAAGGTACACATTTCTGGTGATGGGTTTTCTATTAAAATCATGTTTTCCAGTAAGTATGTCTTTTAAACTAGGAGAGGAAAAAAAGACCTTAGACCTTGAAACTTTTTGATAATGTGGCTACGTGTGCTCCTTTCTTTGTTAGAGGGTAGTTTTCTGTGTTAGCAGTCAGGGTGAGGCAGGGGGACTCCTTGAGCCTGGTACTCATCTCCATACCAATTTCTTGTCTGTAAAACTGAGGACAGGCTACCACTCATCTCAAGGGAGTCTGTGGACTGCACATTGAATGCAGAACTAGAAAAGTCCATGGTGGTGTTTGTGCCACCAATAACTTCTAAGGAAATGTTCCTGCCACAAAAACCATGTCTTAGCAAAATGCAGGTGAGGGGCGTGCTGTGCCTCCCAAGAACCTCTATGGCCTTAGAACTGCCCCATCTGAAACATGGTTAACACTAAGGCTTCCAGGCTGGGACCAGGGCTGGGCTGAAGCAGGGATCAGCTGGCCACAAGCCCTTGATCCCATGATAGGCCTTCATTTCCTCAGCAAGCAAGAAGCACCAGCTGTAAGACACTGAGGCTCTAGGAGAGTGCTGGCCAGTTCCCCAAGGTGATGAGATTATCTCTTTTTTTTTCTTTTCTGAGATAGGATCTCATTCTGTCATCCAGGCTGCAGTGGTATGATCATGCTCCAATGCAGCCTCGGACTCCTGGGCTCAAGCAATACCCCCACCTTAGCCTCCCGTCTAGCTGGAGCTATAGGCATGCACCAACACGCCTGGCTTATTTTAAAATTTTTTGGAGACAGGGTCTCACTGTGTTGCCCAGGCTGGTCTCAAACTCTTAAGCTCAAGTGACCCTCCTGCCTCTGCCTCCCAGAGCACTGGGATTATAGGCAGCAGCCACTGTGTGAGGCCAGTGATGAGAAGGTATTTTTACCATGTACCTACTTGGAGACCAATTTCCAGGTCACTTGCCAGGTGAGTGGGGGATTGCAACCACACAGACCTAAGCAGGCAGTTGTGGCCACCATGAAATCAAGATGTCAACTCCCAGTCTCTGTCTTCTCCCCTCACTCTTTTCCCCCTGCTTCCCTGCCCTTTTGGTTCACTGGCCTCGGTGAGCATCCATGCCACAGGGGTTGAAAGGAACCTCTGAAGTAAGAATAGTGAGTCCACACCCACATACCAAAAGATGACAGGACACACAGGAAATGATCCTTTTCTAAATCAATACAATTTCTCAAATTTATTTTTTTCTTAAAGAAGTACTTCTAATCTCTGTCAAAAGGGAAGTGAGGAAAGGTCCTTTCTCCCTTGTAAACACTGAAATACAGATCTGGGAAACCAGGATCGACACACACAAAAAGTGCATTTTACAAAATATCAACTAAAATATATTTTACATGGATTATGCTTCCATTGAAATTCTACCAGCTGCATTTTCAGGTTCGAAAAAATATTTCCACATCTAAGAGATTTCAAAAGCATTTAGGTTCTGGGCAGGAGACCCTACCTCCTGGGAGGAGGGCCTTGATCTCCTTTCCTGCTAGGTGAGTCTGGGCTCCTTGGCAGCAAGGGCCCAGAATGAGCAGGCTCCAAGGCTGGCTCTGCACAGCCCCCACTGCCACTCTGCCAACCTCTCTTACTGCCCCATCCTTCCAGACTGACACCTTCCACCAAACAGCTTATTCAATACAAGGAGACCCAAGTCTCTTCCCTTCAGGTTTGGGGTCAGGCTTCCCAAGCATAAATTCACCTCTGAAGCCTCCAGGCCTCACCCAAACCCAGTGACCAACAGGAGCAACTCATCTACTAAAAGGACAGGACAGGGTATGTCGGGGGAGCCCTCGGGATTCACTTCCATCTCCCTCTGCAGCCCCTGTCCAACTGTCCTCACCCAGTGCTGCCTCCTCAGCCTGCTGGGTTCGTTCGTGTGCCCCTCCTCCCTACGGGAAGACCCAGGGCTGCAGTTCTCGGCCCCTGCCCCTGGGAGTATGCCCTTGCGGAAGTGCTCAGCTAGCAGGTTCCCAGTGCCAGGCCCAAGCCACACTGCACTCCACTCCCTCTCCCACCATGTTCCTCTTTGGTACAAATAGGAAATAACCAGGCTGCTCCAGCCCCCTCACAGAGTCTCAGGGTTAAGGCCAAGGCCTAGTCTCCGCAAGGACAACAGGGGACTGAGTCTCTTAAGTCTACTCTGGGGAGCAGCATCAGGTGAGAACAGGGTCTCTGGGCAACAGAAACAGAGTGAAAATGCAGGTCCTTAGCTCCTAGAGCAAGTGGCTGCAGCTCAGCAGGTCTGTGGACTGATAACAGTGTTGATTCTCGCTGGGATGTAAATTAGTGCAATCTACAAAAGACTAGGGTAAGGGTGACAGGGCAAGGGGAGCCACAGCACTCCTTTGGTTTGATTTCAGGTAGGTGTGGCTTAAAGAGTCATGTGTGAAGTTCTGCAAGAGGTTTTCTGGAACCTCCAAGTGTAAGGCAAGAGGAAAAATCTTCAACAAATCAGGTAGCAATTTTCCTTGCCCCCTGCCCCCAACCCTCTCCCAGCACCCATCTTCCCTCCCAGACATGATAAACCCCACATTGATCAGTTAACTTTCTGGGAAGCCAGACCTGCTGGGTGACCCTCTCTGGGAGCTAGAGACTCCCACAAGTGGGCCACACCCATGACTGTGAGGGGTGGGTCAACTTGTCCCAGCACCAGTGGCTACTGCAGGGCAAAGGAGGAAAGCCAGAGAAAGGCCTCAAGTCCAGGAAGAGGAAGTCAATGCTCTGGAAGCCAGACTCTGGCTCTCTCTGCCTCAAAGGAACAAGCTCAGAGCTGTGCTGGGTTCTAGAAAAACCTGGTCCCAGGCTGAAGGGGAAGCGGTGGGTCACAGTGGGTGAGGTAAAGCTGGCTCCCACTCCCCCTTTGAGGGCCTGGGAGAAGCTACAGAAGGACCTGTAGGATCCGGTTCCTGGAGGACCTTGCCCCTCCTTCCCATGCCCACCCTCCTAGGGCCCCATGTCCCTCAGGCTTGGCCCAGCCTCAGAGAAGACTACTTCTTCGGAAATCGCCACCCAGGGGAACCACAGAAGGTACCTTGGGGCAAGCTGAGAGCTCTGATGCTTTTCTTATACCCTGGCCTCCCCAGTTCCCTCCCATGGGGCCCAGAACCCACAGGGGCCCCTGCCCTCCCCCCACCCAAGAAAACCACAGGCCAGCAAACTTAGGCCTCTATGGCCCCCTAACCAAGTGCTGTGCTTCAAGCAGTGCCCCCTACCCTGAGCCCCACTTGCCCATGGGTAGCCCCAGCGTGGGCATGAGGAGGCTACTGGGGATTCTTAAGGATGCGGCCATGGCGGAAATCATAGACATGGCGGCAAAGGAACACCAGCTCAGGGTCCGTGTCCTCCGGCACTGTGCGGTGGGGTGGGGTGGAGTAGTCTGCAGAGGGGGGCACCAGTGCTGTCTTTCGGCTGGGGAGGCCTTCGCCTCGGCGCTTGGCCATGGCACAGAACCTGCAGAGAGATACCATTCACTGTCTTTACTCCAGCCACCTTTGCAGGAAGACCAATTCCTTCCCTACCCTACCCAGAGAGCTGGGCTATCCTAGCTCCCCAGGGGTGGTGCTGTCTTTACTCATCCCAGGGGTGATGTCTGCTCTGCCAACCACCAGGGTATCTTCTCTGTCACTGAAGAACCACATCTGCCAGGGCCTCCCTCCATTTGCCTGCCAATTCTCCTAGATTTTTTTCCAAGCGCAGTAATGAACTCTGCTCCAACCATTCTACCTCAGTGAGGCAACAAATTTTTCTTCTTCCTTCTAAAAAAATCAGATGGTAGAGGCAGGCAATAAGGACGTAAGTTCTGGGAGATTAGGCTCAGTGAGTAAAATGAGGCAGAGAGCAGAATGAGATCCTCTTGGTGAATTCCAGGCAGCCCCCAAATAGGCCTGGGGAGGAGCCTGAGGGAAGAGGCCAGGCAGAGGGTACAGGGAACCACTCACCTGCAGTACTCAGCAAAAGTCAGCACGTAACACTTCTCTTCAATGCAGGCCACACTGTTCTGGTCCTGATGCCGCGATGCAAAGACTTCATTCTGCAACGGCTCAAAGGGAGACAGGTGGAGGTTGTTACCAGGGCTGGAAAGCACCTCATTCCAGGAAGCAAGGCAGGTATTAACCCCTCTGCTGGGGCATGTTGACCTGAGATGACTCCAGCAAGCCAGGGAGCTTCCCTGGAAATTCAGCCTAAGTATGCCTCACCTACTGCCAGGCATTCCTCCTAAGTCCCTCCTAGGTCCCCTCCTTCTCCAGAATAGCCAGGTAC